CTCTCTCTCTCTCTTGCCCCCGCCCTCCCCCAGCGGCGTCGGTAGCCTAGCGGTTAGGCTACCCGACTCGTAATTGTGAGATTATGGGTTTGGGGGTTTGAGCCTCTGCTCGGTCTGACGTTGTGTCCTTGGCACTTTACACGAAATTCCGACTTGGCTTCGTCTTTTCAGAGATGGACGTTAAACTCGGAGGTCCCACCTCTTAAATAACCTAACAGTATTGACAGGAGCGTTAAACATGTACCATTTCACCATTTTCTCCCCCCACCCCCCCAGTCAGGAAATTATATTTTTAATGATGCTTTGTGAAGACTCTTTTATTACCGACCTTATTCCTTCCAGGTATGAGTGCTCTTCCAAAGTTTAAAAGAAAAAAAAGTGATTTTCTGTTTCTCTTTTCCTGTGTATTCGGAGCACGAGGTTGAATTCTGTTGTATCTCATTACTTTTTTAGATATTTACTCCAACTATCAGTGTTCTTGTTTTCAGTAAACCATATTCATGTTTGGATCAGGATTGTCCGTACATTATTCTTTTTCCAGTGGATTTGAGCCCTTTTTGAGTCTGTAAAGACTTTGTAATGTCTCATTTTCTAGTTTGTTCTTCGTTAAATTCAGAACCTTTGGGGGTGTTTATCTTTTTCTACTTGTGTGTTGGCAAGATGTTTTAGCTCTCTATGGGTGTCCTCGTGGTTTTTTTGGCATGGTCTCAGGATGTTATCTATTAGCTCTTTCTAATTTGTGAATGAAATTTGCCTGTTTTTTGTTTTTTACTTCTCTCCGCAAATATGTCCTTTGTTTTGTCCTCTTTTTTTGTGCGTCTGATAAGGGTTGATTGTTTCCCTTTTTTGCGGGGTGGGGGGGGGTGTAATAATATCAGATTTTTTAAAGCTAATGATAATTAATGAGGAAGTTTTCATCATGTATACAATTAATCTAGGTCTAACTTTGTTTTGTTATTGCTGTTGTCAAAACAATATTCAAATTTTATGTTATTTATATAATAACAAAAAGTATATGATAATGATGATTGATGTAACTATTATTTTTTCTTTTTTTTTCTTTCCATTACCATTATTATAATAATATTTTTACCCTTAGTTTCTTTTTTGTTGTGACTGTTTCCTTACTATAAGTGTTGCATGACCTTGAGCTTATTGTTTTTCATGAAGACTTCGGGAGCCAGAGCTGGGTTTCTTTTTACTTTATCTGAGGCCCAAATTCAAGTGTTTTCCCATTCTGCCCTATGTCAATCCAAACTTCTGCCGTTCTGACCTTCCATGGTTATATTATTCCCTGTGGAAGCTAATAAGAAGAGAAGTCAGTGTGTTTTGGGGTTAACTTCCATTTTTATTTAGGATTTTAATCAAGACAACTCATCATTTAATTTTGAATTGGCAAGCACTGTCTCAAAAGTTTAAAAAAATTATTGCCAAAAAGCTGAAACTGATAAGCAGTCCTTTGCTACTGTCCGTAAAATCTGTTATTACCTTGAAATGACCCCCAGGATATAATTTTACAACACTCCGCGTCAAGAATTTAAGCAAAAAAAAAATATTTTAAAAAAATAATAATAATAAAAAGGGTTTAAGGGTGACCGTAGTTCTGTGAGACAAACACCATTTTAGATTTCCCTGGCTCCCTTAGTCCTACCGTGAAATGTTTGTCATTGCATTATTTCCTTTGTATTTTTGTTGTCTTTGCCTACTTTGGCGTCCTGTCTGTTTGTGTGTCTGTGACTGCAATTTCATTATTTTGTTTCCCTGGTCTTGTCCATGTGTTTGTTACAGTTTTCCCGTCGTAAGGCCTTTCAGTTGCCATGTCTCCTGTGTTTGTTAGTTCGTCCGTCAATACCTGTTGTTGTTGGTGACTTTGGGTGTGGGTGTGTGTTTGTGTGTGTGTGCACGCACCTCACCCACCGGTCTGTTTTCTCGTACCAGTGGCTGTGTTCAAGCTGTGTACATGTATGTATATATATATATATATATATATATATGTAAACATACATAATATGTATATATGTACATATTATATATACACTTGTATGTGTGGTCGTTGTATACATACATGAATGTGTAAGTGTGGTCATTTTTCTGTTGTTCTCTCTCTCTCTCTCTCTCTCTCTCTCTCTCTCTCTCTCTCTCTCTCTCTCTCTCTCTCTCTTTCTTCGTGCGTGTCCTGTTTCGCTGTGATAGCAGCTTGACCTGTGAAGATTTTGTTGTTTTTTCAGTTGAGGCTCTAGCCCTGTGTCATCCTTAGCCGGCCGTGGTAGCATGTTCTCTCTCCCCCCGAGACTCCGGTCCTCGCGCTAGCACAGGCCTAGAGCAACAGATCACACACTCTGAGTGAAGGGGCATTACATATTCAGTCTGCCGAGTGCACTAACCATAGCAATCGTCATGCAGCAAACTAAGGTTTAATGGGAAAAAAAACAATCTTTGAGCAGTCTGTGTTCCAACCAACCAACCAACCATCCAACCAACCTACCTACCTACCTACCTACCAACCACCAAACTACCTACCTACCAACCAACCAACCAACCAACCGTACACAATAGATCTCAGAGCTTCAGGAATCAGATCTGCCGGTGATCACAATTTGCCTTAAGGGAGATCTGTTGTGTTTTCCAGTGTAGCTCATGCATTTGTGGAAAGTGTAATATTGTTGTTCTTCGATGAAAGGAGGATGGATATTGTGTTTGATGTTATCAAGGAGACAGGATTTTCGCCAACTGACATAAACTCTGTGATGTAGCCAAAAGCGGGCAAATGTTTCAGGATGGAATACTTGAGATCAATACTATCAATTAATTAAATGTATTTTTTGCTGCAATGATACCCTCATAATCTATGCAATAGAGGCGTTCACATGCGTATGACTTAGTGAATGGGTGCGTGCGTGTGTGTGTGCGCGTGAGTGTGTGTTGTGTGTGTGTGTGAGTGTGTAGACATATATTAATGTTGGCGTCTGTAGTGAGCGCTCCTTTGTTAACCTTCGTGCTGATGGCTCCCACTGGTGTCGTTGTAGCCGGGCGTGTCTGTGTATGCTTTCATCTCTCATTTTGGTTTGTACTGTTTCATTTGAAGTGCATTTCTTTCTCATTGTTCTCTCGTGTATGTATGTATGAATAGTTTTTTGCTTGAGTCGGTTCATGTCCGGGTTTCAGTTTTGCATCATGATTTGTTTTTCCAGTGTGTTGTCAAGTGTTTCTATTTGCTAAATTTTTCTCAATCATTTTATGACATGTTGTATTCACAACATTCCTCCATTTTTAAAAGTTATTTAGTTATGGCAAGTTTCTTTGCTAGATTTGGTCACGATACAAAGTGGTTGTTTTTTTTTTTTTATAGTATTTTAATGGAACAGATTGCTGTCAACTCAATCTCAGAACTATTTAGAGAACAAAGGTAACCAAAATAAGAGATACTTTGAAATCATCCATTAAATATGTACCTGTTTCTGAATTCAGGTCTACTCAAAACAACCAGATTTGAAGAATAATTTCTATATGCTTTTCTAATCTCGATACATTCTGATACACAGGAAAAAACTGCCATTCGTTTTCCTTTTTCGCAATGGAATTGAAATTTTAATAAAAGTAATATTTATAAAAGTTTATCCGTCAGTATTTGACGATGAATTGATGTGCAGTATTCTTTCAACAATGACCCCTTCAGCCATAATCTGAATTGTTGTGTCCAAAGTGATCTGTTCTACCTTATAAAATACATCCCATCTTGTCGAGTTAAATACGGCCTTTCATACGGTTTCACCTGTGGTCCATGCTGTTATGGTTCATTAAGCCCTTAGTTTTAAGTTAAATGTTGTTTGTACTGTCCTTTTCAATGTAGCCTATGGTGTCCTGGGAAATGTTGCCACTGTTGAAATTTTAGATAAGGCCCATTTTGTCGTTGCAAATGAGGCTCGTGTGTTGATGTCACAGGTGGCCTGTGTTGTTGTGTCCCTTGTGACCCCTGTTGTCTTGTTAAATATGACCACACTGCTATACGAGATGTATCCCTGGTCTCGTGAGCATAGTTTTTGTTATATTAGAGATCCCATCTGTGTTGCCTTGTAGAATGTTTCCACTGGCGTTAATATGGAATGAAGCCCATGCTTGTTCATATCCTCTCCCCCCCCCCTTCCAACCTTTGTCGTGTCTAATCATGTGTGTATTGTCATGTCAACTGGGACCAGTGTTGTGTCAAACCCATATGTTTCTAACGCATGTACTGTCACCCCACATGTTGTCTTTGTTGCGTACAATATAGTCTTTGTTGTCCTGCCAAATGCGGCCCAATATGTCTCGTCAAATTTGACCCCCCATGTTGTCTTTTGTCCCTGATCTTGTAGTGTCAGATACGGCTTGTGTTGAGGACAGTCCGTAAGGAACAGGTATTTAATTTGTAAAGGGAAGTTGACAGGAAAAACCCAGGACCATGGGGGTGTGAGTGGAAACAATGTAACCTACAAAATGTAGCCTTTACAATAAAATTTATATTTGTGGGTGTTTCAGAAATCACGAATATCCTTGATTTTCTTGGTTGGCATTTAGCTACTTTAGCTACTTGATATCCCTTACCTTTTGTGGTTGTTTTTTTTTCCCTCTAGATCTCGTTTCTTTGTCAAAGGTAACAACACTATAGGTTTGTGTAAAAGTGAAAAGGAGGGGCGGGGTCAATACATAACAACACAGCGCATTGTGAAAGGTAGCACCAGTGTAGAATTATCTGTTTACTCTCTAGGGAGTAGACTTTGGCTCAAGACAGATTCATAATCTGTCACCTTGTACAGAGTGAGTATGGTCTCTGGGGCCATTAGAAGTTAGGGTGTGAAGCAGGGAAAGCCATATCTGGTGAATTTCAGTTTTTCTTTTTCTACTTATCTACTTTTTTTTTTTTAACTTGAATTTCTTAGAATGTTGTCATCTCAGAGGTTTAACAAGAGGGATCATGTTCTTGCTATATCGGCTAAGCCATGTTATAAACTTTTGAATCACTGCTGCATTTGTTTTTATGTCAAGATATTTGAATTGGCTTGAAAGTTTAATGGTGGGCAAGGCTGACATTACTTAAGGCTTAGTTGACACCGCTGGGATGTATCAGCATTTACATATTGTTTTTATAGTGCTCAGTTGTTCTGTAGTTGTATGGTAACAGTCACTGTCTGTTCTCTTTGAACCAGCTTGACTTTGTCTTTGTCTTTTCCCAGTATTAGAAGAATGTATTGAGTTATCCCTGTGTCTTTGAATTACAAACTCTATTTAGCACGGCGCCATTTTTTACCATTGTTTCTTTCATCCCTGCGTGTGTACGTTGTGCATGCCTGCGTGTGTGTATCTGGCAATATCCAGTTGTCTGTGTATGGATCTGCTAAGATCCAGTTGTCTTTTACCTTTTACTGTGTGCGGGGTGTGCCTGTGTGCGTGTGTCTGACTACATCCAATCGTCTTTGCCTTGTCTGACAGATCGACGCCGGACTTCAGCAACAGCTCTGGTCCATCGGACTCGTCGCTGAGAAAAACTCAGTCTCATCCACTGAACCGCGCTCACAACCTGAGCCCGTCCAAATCTGTTGCCACCAAAACAAAATCGGACACAGTCTTTGGAGCAGCGTCCAAAAGTAAAAGTGATCGCTGCAAATCGGTGCCGGGCCCGCTCAATTCAGAGTCTTCTGGCGAAGGCCAGGATGGGGGTGGGCCGGGGGACATGTCGGCGTCCTCATCTGTAGGAAAAGCCTCATGTCCCAACTCACCGCTCGAGGCCAGCAAAGATTTTGTGCGGAACACGGCCAGTGACGCGGGATGGCGGAAAGGCTCCTCCGCTGCCGCCCCTGTCTCCGTGGAGGCCGCGGCCGGCTCTAGCTCGCCCAAACCTCGGAAGACCATCTTTGACGGGTTCCGCAACACTCTGGGCCGCAAGTCAAAGTCAAGTGACGCCGGCAAAATGGCAGATGGCACCTCGCCCCAGTCACCCAGCACCTCCACCGGCGGGCTAGACCCATCAGCCATAAATCTCACAGACGGAGGCAATTCGGAAGGAAGGACGGCCACTCCAGAATCTTCAGACGAGGCCACTACTGCAGCAGCGTCTGCAACCGCAGCGGCAGCAGCAGCTACAGCAGCATCTTCTCTTCCTCCTTCCTCCACGACACGGGTAAGTGGACGCAATGTGACCTCGTGATGGAAAGAGGAGGTAACTTTGAATGCAAAAAAGTATATATCTATCCATCTATTTGTGTGTGCGTGTGTGTGTGTGCGTGTGTGTGTACATATATCAGTTGCCGCCCTCTCGCCTCACAGGAGTTCCTGGCTCGTTCGTTTGTTCATACCTTAGTTTGCTGCATTCGTTAGTGCACCATCCTCTGATGGTAGACATGGTTGGTTGGTTCGGCTGCTCGTCCGACTCCCCGTATGCCCCTGTCCTAGTTTCATACCTTGCAATCTTCACTGAGTTCATACGTTGCCCCGGAGCACTCACCCTCCCTCCTGGTCAAGTGACGGCCACGCCCCCTACCCGTGAGTGATCAGCTGTCACTTGAGTCAGAGACAAGTGGGATACACCAGGGAACACATAAGTCGTTTTTCATTCTGTTTTGTTCTCTACATTTCACCGTTGCAATCTACGACGTATAGATGAGTAGTTTTCAAACAAACATATTGGAAAACTAGTTGAGATGACAAGACTTTGATTTGTGAAAGCAGTTTTGTGTAGTGGATGGATGCAGGCATAAATTCTTGAGAGGACTTCATTTCGAGTGTTCATCTCTAGGATATTAATTGAGTAATGAAAGTGGACCGATATCCAGCGAGTGAGATTTTCAAATTAATATATTATGTTCATTCTACAATTTTATGTTTCATGAGTTCCAGAGAATATCATAGTGTCATATCTTAGTGTTATTACAATTTATTATTCTTTTAATAACATTCTCTTCTACTCTATGTTCATCCTGATTGAGACGGGGGTATTAACGAACATTTCACGATCACGAACAATGACTATGTAAACCACTCAGCTCTGTTTCTTTCGTTTGTTTGTTATGATTAATTCCCCCTTTTTGTTATGACTGTGAGAACTACTGCTTGCCTATGTACGACTTATGTCCGTTCGCATGCATTACTTTTTTGGAATATACGTGCATTTTGCTAAATTAGTTGTCTCCTCTCGGTTCAGTGTTTTCAGCGCTGAGCGGATCTCTTCCTTTTTCCTGTCAGTATTTTCATAAGTTGAATTGGAACTTGATAAAAGAGTGTGCTTGTAATGGGAGTTGTAATAACGTATTTGTCATTTCTGAAGATCAAGTGTTATTTCACATGTTAGTGGGGAGCGTATGCAGATTGATTTCCTGCTGATTTCCGGACAGAGCTGAGAGCAACCTCACAGCTCAGTTCATTTGATATTTCATGAGAAAATGCCTGGTTACATTGCATGCCAGTGGCAGGACTCGTGGCTACGATGACTCCACGGAGACTGTACCTGGCTTTGTGAAAGAACAATGTGGCCACATGAGAGAAGGATTGTAGTGTATGGCCATGTGTGAGAAGTGTGTGTGTGGCGATGTGTGAATAGTGTATGGTTATGTGTGAGAAGTGCGTGTATGGTGATGTGTGAATAGTGTATGGCTATGTGTGAGAAGTGTGTGTGTGGCGATGTGTGAATAGTGTATGGTTATGTGTGAGAAGTGTGTGTGTGGCGATGTGTGAATAGTGTATGGCTATGTGTGAGAAATGTGTGTATGGTTGTGTGAGGGTACAGTTAAAGTGGTGGGGCTAAGTTCCAAATAGTTTGGTGTTTGCGTGGCCACATGAGAGTAGAGGAACAGTTGTGTGTGGTTACATGGAAGTAGCTATGAATATGTGGCGATATGAGAGTATTGTGGCATTTCTGTGGCTACATGAGAGTAGAGGAATAGTTATGTGCGGCTGCATGAAAGTAGAAGGACAATTGTGTGACTTCTTGAAAGAGTTGTGGCATTTCTGTTGCTCCATATGGGAGTAGTGAACAGTTGTGTGGCAATTTGAGAGAGTGGTGACTGTATTACATCGAAAGAGTTCGGTGCCAATACATGTTTGAGACTTAACATTGTGGGTTATCTGTCTAATTGTATTGTGGCTGAGCATAATTTATGGAACATTAGGCACCCCAATGTCAAACACGTCTGCCTTGATGGCTTTCATAGTGCTACTGTTCAGTCTGTACCAATTATTTATTCATTTATTTATTTTATCTTTTTTGGCAGTTGTTGGGTTTTTTAATTGTTCCTATTTTCATTTGACTTTTTAAAAAATATTTTTTTGTGTTATGATCTCCATTCTTTGTCCTGTAATATCTCCACTATGCTCCTTACTGCCAGAACTTCGTCGGAGCCAAGGTGTGCAATTGCTAGTGGAAATGAACACAGCTGTGCGAGGAGTGGCGATAGGTGTTTTGATAGGCAATTTGTTATCTTTTATAGCAGTAGTAAACCTGAACATTGTATTTGAATAGAGTATTTGTCGGGTTTTCTTTCAGAGCTGGCTGAAAGATGTAGAATTACTTGAGACCCCCCCACCCCGGCCAGTATTTTCGTAGTGTGGAAGGTTGCTCTTTTAATTCCGAGACCTACCTCAGAACTACCAAGTTCTAATTTAACTGCTCAATGCCTAATTTTGAGAAATATGAGGTCCAAATTTTTTAGTTCCACAGTATGTCAAGCTTTTCCGAATGCAATTCTTTGAATATCTTGACGACTCGGAACATTTTTACTAGTTTGATAGAGCAGATCGAGCATTTGTTTTCTGGCCACTTGGTCCTAATAACTCAAAACGACTAAAAATATCAGATAAAACTTTGTAATTCGGAGGTAACGAATAGTTGAAACTACGAAGATGCTCTGTCACATCTTTTTGCCAACCTACGCACTCATTTGTCAGAACAGCAGTACCACTTAAGGACTACGCATTGAAAACTCATTGTCTGGCAATTTTCTGTCAACAATAACAACGAAAAGTCCATCCGTGATTTTGGTTAAAACCCTCCTATTTGTAATTCGGCGCCACATTTTCTTTTTTTACGTATTATTTATAGGTGAAGATCACGATATGGATGGCTCCCCTCATTGAACGTGTTTTTTTTTGTTTTTTTAAAAATTATTAATATTTATTAATTTTTTAAATTTTTAAAGTCACCCCGTCTATTCATGGGAAAAAAGCAGAACATATCCCACCTGTAGCATTTCAGTGTATTACTTTGTTATAGATTTATTATGTGTTTGTGTGTTTATGTGTATGTTTATGTATTTCTGTCTGTGTCTGGGTTCGTGTGTATGTGTTTGTAAGAGAGGTAACGAAACGATCACGATTTCTGTTGAAATAGATGCATGTGTGTACATTTCCATTCTTCCATACATACTCTGGCTTCAGTCAGTTCAGCCCACTGTTTTGATTTTTTAACGACATTAACATTTTGTTCTCCCCTTTATGTGGCCCTCAATAACCGTCCGGGTCACGGGACTGTCATGTTTGCTAAAACTACACTGTCATTGCCATCATTGTTTTGCCACTGTATCAAAAGCTTTGTGCTAATCTAAACTCTAGGGGGTCATACATATTTATTCTATTGTAAAGTTGTGCGCTGTTGGCGAGAGCTGACAAAGTATTCGTTTTGTTGCTTGGGCAGGTGGGGGGGGGGGGGGGGGAATGTATGTTTTCCAGCCTCTTTGTGAATGACGAATAATTCATTACTAGCAAGTGTCTATACTGCCAAGCCCTGTCTCCGCACAGCTGGCTCATAGCTTCACAAAACCGTTGAACGTGCTTGTCCTCTCGCAGTACACATGTATTAATTACTACGCATTACCCAAAAGCGTTCAAGTTGAAATAGGGGCCTACGATTCCCACTCTTTTTTTTTTTTGCCTTCTTTGTTCGCTTGACCTTACTTAAAAGAAGCCAGCCTGACTGGCCTGTAGAATGACCTGCTTGGTTCTGTAGAAGGTGGAGCTTCAATATTAACTATAATAATGACTATAATATTATTAATAATGGTGTAATAGTTATTAACAATGAAGTTTAGTTGAAGAATTTAGGCCTGTCGACTCACGAGATGTTTGGTTCAGCAATAAATTGAACAGAATCCGTTTCTCACCCCTCATGCTCACCCCTTGGTCAACCTGATAGGTTTGGTTTGTTGCCATAAGATTGGTTTACAACCGTAGGTTGGGGGACACTGTCGTAGACAATGACTGTGTGTCTACATTTTCGTCCTTGTTTAGTGTGTGTGTGTGTGTGTGTGTGTGTTTGTACATGTGTTCGTATTTTGTGTATATGTATATATATATATATATATATATATATATATATATATATATATGTGTGTGTGTGTGTGTGTGTTTTGTGTGCCAATGCAGGAGCATGTGCGTTTGTGTATGGGCGTGTTTGTGTATGTAAGTGTGTGTTTGCGTGCGCGTATACTCATCCTAACCTTTGATATTGAAAGGACCACTTTGCTGTTGGCTGTAGATTACTTTGCTGTTGGCTGTAGATTACTCCTGATGCTCAACGGTAATGGTCATAACTCTTACAGAACGGATAACTTGTCACTCTCTACTGGACAAGACATGCTGATTTTCCGGATAAATCCGATAATCCGGATATCTTGAATTATCCGGATATTTCATGATATAAAATCGTCTTGATACAAGTGGTATTAGACAGCATCATTAGTGTCGAAAGCCATTCACTTAAGTCCGTTTGAGTAAATGTACTTTTTACACTAAAGACAAAAATGAGTTTTTGTAGTTATTCCTATCAGGGCTCATGAAAAGCCAGAAATTTTCTGTCTTGACCATAGCATTGAACTACATTTTGGTTATGTTAAAAGTTGCCTCTTTGGTCAAGCTTTGGGAGGGTGTAAAAATAAAAATAAAAGATTCATCAAATTGGACTTGAATGGATTTCTTGCCACAGGGACGATATAATCCGTAAGTTCTGAGTCCCTGCACGTGCGCGTTTCCATGGGGGACCGAAAAGTTTAGGACTTTTTTCCCGTAGCCAGTTGGCACCCCTGCTGTACGGGACGAAAGAGTTCCGTTTTCTGTTCTACCTAGCAGGACGCTGTCTCAGCCTACCGTAGCTGCCTCATGCAAATGCCTAGGTCAGTCGGTCAAAGCAGATAC